AGACAAGCCATTGTTGAGGATTTCCCAAAGAGGACAAAAAGCCAAGGATGTCTCAAGATATCGGTTTTGGTTCCTCTGTTAACATCTTTATGCTGGTCCTGGCGGGCAACTTTTATTATCACACAGTCGCCGCCGAACTTTATTCTCCCTGGGGGTTTATGCTCGGCCGTTTTCGGTTACGCAGTGCCGCAAGGAAACTTGCAACGATACCTCTGTCCAAGCCGAGGCCTCTTACCTACATGTTACCTCCCTGCGTCACTACAGTTCTGAAGTCCACCACCTATTCCAATTAGAAATTTAATCGGTCTATAATGCATGGAAACACGCGATACGAAATATCGCCGCCTCCGACCCCACGCAGACTTGCGACTAAACAGCAGAAGTCCCAACCGACTACATCTGACTACGACCTACGAGGCCATTGGATTGGTGTTACCATCTTTGGCTTCGAATGGGTCGCTATTGGGTGTGCGGTGGGACATATGCGTGGCGGAGACGACGCAAGAACGACCGGCCCTCATTGGGACCCTGCCGGTCAAGTACCTTTTCACGAGTTTGTCCGCGAAGAACATGCCTGGATCAATGTGACCACAGGCAACACGACGCCCTTCCAGCAAGCTGCAGCTCTGCAGCGAGGTTTGGGAGGTCTCGCGCGGACCATAGCCGCGAGAGTCCCTCCAGCAGTTATTAATTTTGGCGTCAACATAGGTGGCCGCCACACCGACGGCGTCACCTACATTATGTTCCTCCTAAGCACGATGTTCGAGAAATTAGAAGAGGAGCGCCAACTCAACTCTGGTACGGCTTTCGTTGACTTTCGAGTCCATGCGGGTGCACGTATCGACCAGACGTTAGCACAGTTTGAGATAGCTCGTTGCGAAGCGGAAGCAGCCGGTTTCAACATCCCCAATTGCAGAATCCTACCAGTGATTGTTTCTCAGAGCTTTTGGATTGGGGACATCGCGTGCACAACAACTCCTCCAACAACTCATGCCGGGAGACCAACAATAATTCGATGCACTATTTGAAAGTATGAGGTCATATGCTCACATTGCTGAGAGAACCCCCGGCAATTCTTGTGGCATCTTTAGTCACGGTATCCGATCCGAGACTTTCTACGTGGAGGCCAAGGCATTGCAACCTGCCAACAACGTCTGGAATGATGATCCACAATCACCTGAGACCACTACAGTGCTGGTTCAGAATCGTGGAACGGCCTCGGGGTCGCAAGACTCTTGGGCCAAACCTGGGGGACCGCCCGACGCGGTCTCCCCCAGACATGCCATGGCCCTAATGGGCTCGGCGGGGCAACCCGCCGAGTCCGACTTCGACTCCGGTACCGATACGGCTACGTCTTCAGATGACGAAGCTACCGCCCTGGATTATGCTGATATGCCTACATACCTTAGTGAAGAGCAACAAGCACAATTGTCATTTCTAGGCCATCAAAAGCACAAGCGTCGCTGGCGGAGAGTCATGAAGAAACCAGTCCGAAAAGCCAGGCGCATTGCACGGCGATCGCTTAAAGGAAAAGGCAAGGGCCGAAGTAAGGGCAAAGGCAATCGTCGGCGATTACATGGCGGAGGCAAACTAGCATTCTTAGCGTCTCTTACTGGACCTCAGCACGACGATTTTTTAAGGTGCTGGCAGAAGCCGCATGCATGCATCAGGCAAGGGTAGGGGGCGGCGGGGAAGCCCAACGGATGCCAACGGTAAAACTATGGAGTGCGACACATGCCACAGTGCATAACATTTCCGACGCGAATGCCCCCGAGGTGATGGAAGAGGCAAGGGTCCGTCAATACACTTGGCTCAAACAGACTCCGACATGCAGTATGTTGATTGGGAGTCACTTTTAACCGACCCTGCCGATTGCTCAGCCGCAATTGTTCATTTCATGGTTGCCAGATATCTAAGTGCGAGTATGACCTTCGGGAATTACGCCGACGAGCTGTTCGAGGAGGTGTCCGCTGGCCACAATAACATCGAAGTTGGCAGAATGGTTGGGTATACCCATCGCTGGGCAACCCGCAGATATTGAGTTCGCTGAGAACTTCCACATGCCCGCCGAACGAGATTTTGGCATGGCGGGGACACCCGCGGACTTAGAATCTATCACTGTTGCAACAGATGAAGGAATACATGCGGTGCTCTATCCTCGGGCGATTGGAAATCCGACAGACATGGAATTGACCGATGGTGTTTCTTTGCGGGGAAAACCGCGAGACGCTGGTGATCGATCTGGGCGTATGCAGTCTGATATTGGTCGTAAGGAAGAATGTCGATGCACTTTTGTTGCTTCAGATCGATCCATGAGCTGCCAGAAGCGATCGCCGAGCCGCCCAGTCTGGAGGAATCAAAATTTGCGCGACGATGACGAGGGCGAAGAACGGGAAGACAGTGACCGCGTGATACGTCGCGGTCGGGTTCCCAGTCGCACACTAGATCGTACGCGCGCCCGCTGCGTGGTGCTCGTTCTAGCGGTCGTCTGCGCCTTTGCCTTCCTGATGCGGGGGCCCCAAAGGCCCCGCCATGCCAGGCTAATAGCCCGGCCACTTCCAGGTGGGGGCGCCTGCGGGGACACCCGCCTCAGGATGGTCAACCGCGAGGGGAAGAATATCCAGAGTTTGCACGCGGCGTCTCAATGGCTACACGGAAGCTGGATCGGCTCGTCAGTACATGCCCTCAGGTCAGATGCAATGTTGGCATGATTAGGCCTGGGGTGAGCATCGTATCCGGCATTGGCATCCTCTTCGCGAGGTCAAACGAGATGTGGCGGGAAAGATCATGCGATCGACAGGGGCAGGACCTATCGCATCACAAGATAAGATGGCCACGCGCAGCGTGAAGAGGGCTATCGTCGAGGAACGGAAGCTCTACAGAAACGTATGTTGTGCATGCCCCAAATATGCTGACCACAGGCTCGGTTGCCCCATGAAGCGTCGATCAAGAAGCCCGAAGTTTAGAAGAACCCCGCGGGCTTGGTCCCATGGTGATGGTCGGGGTCACTGTGCCGACCCCAATGCAACGCTATATAATGAGCAGCTGACGGAGAGCGACTACGACCTCGCCACAGTTGACGAAATAGCCCGCACAAGCTTCGTTTTGAAAAAACTCGACCTCCACTCACTATTTGGCGCAGTTCAATCGCGATCGGCACGCAGGGGAACCTGCTGATCACAAATCAGAAGGAAAAGGCCCACGAGAAGCTGATGAAGATGAAGATGCTGAGATGGCTGAAAGAGTTGATCTTACGGACGCTGCCCCTGAAGGGTGCGAGTCAAGCGATTCGGGCATTGCGAGCGTTACAGGTCAGACGGATGCCCCGATCGACCCCAAGTACGCTGTCGCAGAAGATCAGGATCTTTCCCCTGAGAGGGGGATCACTCACCGTGCTCAAAGTGTGGGCTGGATAAAGACAAGCATAGTCGCAAGACGAAGCGCCACGACCTACCTTCTTTCAGGTTAAGCTCAAGACCACTATTAAGAACACGGCCTTCAGGACGGCAGATGAAGTCGATTTGGACCCTGACCGAGGTCCCACGCGTCGCGTGCAAGGGGCGCCGGCAGGGGCCGCGGCCAAGGCAACTCCTAAGCCAATGCCAGAGGCGATCATCGATATTCCTGCATCTTCCGACTCATCGAGCCCATCTTGGCCCCGATCAGTTCAGACCTAAGAGGAAGAAGAGCCAGTGCCCAGATGATCCCACCCTTGGGGACAGCAAGCAACATCGGTATGCGGGGCAACCTGCTGATCGACAACGATCCAGAGGACCAGCAGAAGCTGCCGCAGCAGCTGCATTTCAGGCCACCAGCACCCCTACTCCGAAGAAGCTTGTGGCACGTCGCGGCCCTACACCAGGCCGGACGCACAAGACAGGGCGGGTGCCCGCGCTGGAAGGACGGACTAGGGGTGCTTCCTCCGCGAGACGCGGTGTTGAAAAGCTACTTGCCACCTCGTCGAAGGCGCCAGGAATGGCTCCCAGAGGTAAGACAGTCGAGTCTTATAACATCGAGGAAAAGACACGTCAGGACTTTGATATCAGTACTCCGACAGGAACTCCACGGACGCCCGTGGGAACTGCCGGCGTTGCCATGTCGGCGGCGAGCGCATCCGCTCTTGCCGCGCCAGTGGCGGCCCCACGTTCCGCGGGGCAGCCTGCGCAGAGTTCCGCGGGGCAACATGCTCGGAGCTCAGCGGGGCAACCTGCCCTCTTTTTGGAGGTGCCAGTGGACTGCCGAGAGTACTGGGACAGGATGCGCACTTCCAACCGCACGAAGATCAACCCAGCATGCCATCCTCAGATTGGACGGGTCTGATCGATGCATGGTGGTGCAATGCAACCTCGTGGACACTGCCGTCCATCATGACCCAGAGTCACACACGCGCCAGGTAGTGCGCAGCATTCTGCGGAAACGCCCAGCACTCACGCTTGACCCTGAAAAGGGAATATCTGAATGGGATCTTTTTATATTATAATCAGTCAACCAACCGAAGTTCAGCCATGATAAGCAGCGTCAGATCTCAGAGTGGCTGGCGACTGCCCACAAAACGGCCGCGAACGGGACCGCGCAATACCCCTCGGCGGCTCCCCTTAGGGACGTGCAATTGAGCGCCTCGCTCGACACATCCTCCAATCCTGCTTCGATACCGAAGGATGTTGGGACAGAAAACAGGCACACCGCTTGAGACATCCCCACAAAACGGCCGGGACGTGAAAATGAGCGCCTCGCTCGAGACATTTTCCAAGTCTGTTCCGAAGGGGAAGGATGTTGGGACAGAAAAGAGGCAAACCGCTTGAGGCATCCCCACAAAACGGCCGCGAACGGTGCGCGCGTGAGTCTCAGCGTTTGGCGTAGTTTTTGAGTATTCGTATTTTGTCGTCGAAAATCCTTCTGTTGGGGGGCGCGCCCGATTGAATCCTGGGGGAACCTTGGGCCTGGGGGTACTTCTAGCAACACCCGAAGGAGGCGCGCTGGTCTACGGGGGCCTCACGGAGGCCGAGCGCTCGGCGCTGGGGGCGCAGCTCAGCGCGGCCGAGGCCGCGGCGCTGGGCGGCGAGGGCCTGGAGCTGGCCGCCCTCGCAGAGCCGCTGGGCGGTTTGTACGCGTGGGCCACCGCGGGGGCTCGTTGCACAAAGTACCCATCGGTCGCTGAACGGCAGGAGGAGGAGGAAAGGAGGAGAAAGAAAAGGAGGAGGAGGGGGAGGAGGACGAGGACGAGGACGAGGACGAGGACGAGGAGGACGGAGGACGGAGGAGGAGGATGAGGAGGAGAAGGAGGAGGAGTAGGAGGAGGAGGAGGAAGAGGAGGAGGAGGAGGAGGAGGAGTTTTCAAAGCAGGGCAAGGTCCCCCTTACCGCTGCCCTTGCTTCGCATTCCTCCTTGGGGGGCCTCCAGGGAGGCCCTCGCCGCCACCGGTGCATTCGCGTCGGAATCCGGGCCAGAACGCACCCAGGAACAGGTCTCGGGAGTAGCGGTATCGGTGTTGATTGATTTCCCTTACCCGGGAGGCTCCAGATCCCAACCTGTTTCAGGTGCCGTCCTGCTCCAAGCATTGATATGTGGCCCGAACCCACTATTTTTCATCCGCCGTCCTGATTCACGTTTTCACTTACAGTCGGGGCCCTGAAGAAGGAACCCTTTTCGTTGGGGAGCGGCTCCGCGTTCCTTAAGTGTTTCGCAGCTTGCCTCAGGTTTTCCTTCGCTTTCCGATACGAAATCGAAGTTTAACTCATGGAAAAAAAGGGCCTCGTTCCTTATTTTGGGCTCCTTGGGTCAAGCCCCCGACTGCACATGTTTCTTGCGACCGGCGGGTGCACTTGGGTCTCGCCGGGGGTCTGAGGTGGCCCGGCATTGGTTCCAGCGGGCATCGGCGGCGAGCTCGGGGGGGGAAGTGAGGGGGAGCGGGTTCTCAGCAGGCGGCGGGGCTTCTCAGAAGCCCTCGCGCCTTCGGAGGAGCCGCCGTGTGGCTTCGGAGACGGCCTGAAGAACTTCCAAGTATCAGAAGGCGGCGGGGCTTCTCAGAAGCCCTCGCGGCTTCGGAGAAGCCGCCCGTGGCTTCGGAGGCGGCCTTAAAGAACTTCCAAAAAGGCCCGAGGGCTTCTGAGAAGACCCAAAGCTCGCTGAGAGGGTCCGCCCATTCTCGCTTCAAACCCTCTGGCTCGCCATTTTGGCTCAAGCCATTTTGGCTCAAGCCATTTTGGCTCAAGCCCGATTGGCTCAAGGGGGTCATGCCACTCCTGGGTCAAGGGGGTCAAGGGTAGCCATGCCTAGTGGACCGTTCTAGCACATGCCTTCCAGTGGGTGCGTTTATTGCACTGGCTATTTCGGAGGGCGGCGAGGACATCGGGCATATAAGGTCTACACCAGCTGCATTCTCATATCGGTTTTCTCTTCTTTATTCTCTTCGCCTTCGACTGCATGGTTGACGCCACTGCAGTCTCTCCAGACCTCGTGAACTTCGAGTTTGTGACTTGGAACACGCAGAAGAGATCTCGATACAGGACTGGCGCTGTGTTGAAATGCATGGCTCGCCGGTACGGGCCCTCAACAGTAGCATGCTTACAAGAAGTGCCGCAGTGGGGGGTCAGTGTTCATAAGCATTTTGCAGTACGTTCTGTCGCAGGTAAAGATTGCGCAATTGTTTTGCCTAAAGCCGATGTGTCATCTATCATATGGGAGGTACACGAAGATCGTTTTAGTATTGTTGTCGTGGGGAATCACATATTCGCTTCAGCACACATCCTGGATTATGGCACTGACAGGCTTGCAGACAGTCCCACCTTGCACCGGCTTTCTGCATCGATCGTCCTTGCGAGGGAGAAGGTGCTTTGCAAGCAGTGGCACCCGATAGTTTTCTTGGGCATGGATGCTAATGTCAGCCTGCCGCCTGACACACTTGGGGTTACGGGCAATTCGTGTGCAAGAGCCCTTCCTTCTCATCGTGTTGGAATGCAAAGGACTGTTTTAGATTTCCATGTCTCGCACGACCTCGTTGTTCACAACTCGTTTGCGAATATCCCTTTGGATCGATCTTTCACGAGGGTGGGGAGGAAGAGGACTGCCAGAAACAAGTCGCAAATTGATTTTGCCAGCACGTCATTGTCACAACATCTACCGGCGTTTCCTGATTTTCAGGTGGATGAAGATCCGAACTCGGAGCTCCGGAAGTCTGATCACCTACCAGTTCGTCTCAGAATTCTTCTTGATACGGATCAGTGTAAAAGGACTCCTAAAGCTGAGCTTTCTGATTTCCGCAAGGTGCAACAGAGTTGGAATATCGACCGTCTTTGCGACAAAGCGCAGTTCTGGTATGACGTCTCGACGGGGCGCTCCGAGAACATGAGCTTAGCAGACTGCGTTTCGTCCGTGCGGAGTGCCATTTTCAAGAGTGCGGGCAAGGATCGCACCACGGAAGTGGACGACGATGATATAGACGTTGAACGAGCAGTAGGCGGTAGGAAAAGGAAACGAAAACACGCATCCTCTTCTGGTCAGGCAAAGCCGGACGCATCAATAGGTCAGTGGGGCAGGCGTGGCACAAACAAGTACATCCTCACCTGCATCTCTCAACGAAGTAAGGCTTTGGATGCGCAGCCACCGGTAGTCTTGAGCATTGAGGGGCAAGAGTCAGCAGATAGAGGCACGTGGAAGGGGGCACTCACACAGCTTGGAAAACATAAGTTCGCAGGCACTGCGGGGAGCAACACTAATTTCAGCGCCGTTGTCGAGAAGTGCCGGGCCACGGCGTACGCCAACACTTTGGACAATCATGTTATCGGAGCCCCGTCGTTTGCTGATTTTGCTGATACCCTCTCTCGCTTATCATTAACTTCAGCGCCTGGCCCGGACGAGATACTGGGAAAGGCTTGGGTTTTCGCCCCACACTGGATGAAATGTAGGCTGTATGAGCTTCTCTTGAAGAGGTGTAACGACACGTCTTGGAGTGTTCAGGAGTTGGCCACATGGAAGAAGTTTGTTTTGCGCGGAGTGCAGAAAGTACCCAGTCCATCATCGCTCAGGCAATTCAGGTGGCTTGGCATGTTGGACCACCTGTACAAACTCTTCTCGGGCACGGCCTACGTGAGCATCGCCCGCACCATCGCCAAACCGATGCGGGCCCACAGCTACGGATACAAGAAAAAGACATCAGTTGACGACGTATTTGGAGTTCTTTTTGAAATTGTTGCTTATGCGAGGCGGTGGGACGATGTCACATTGATATTAGCAGCACAGGACATTTTGACTGCGTTCGATTCAGTAGAGCACGCAAGCATCATCGACACGTTCCGCAAAGGTGGGGCTTCTGCACATCAGCTGCTGAATTTGGCCCGGGACCTGTCTGACGTTGAAGTCACGCTGGACATTCCAGGAGTGGCGGTTACGGACGACATGCCCATGACAAAGGCCCTCAAGACGGGGGGCAAGGCTGAACCGCATATTTTCAATTTTATGTTCGAGACCGTTCTTGATCACCTCGAGGGCGTCTGGGACTCTCTGGGAGTCGGGTTTTATTTAGATTCGGGGGAACGCCTGGGCAGTGTAAATTTCGTTGACAATCTGTTCCTTGTTGCACGCACGTTTGAGCAGTTCACTTTCATGGTTCAAAGCGTTACCGATCTTATCTGGCAGCGTTACAAGTGGACTTGGAAACCAGAATCGCTGGAAGTCATGTCTGTACGTTCTCCTCTGGCCGGCCCCGTAGCGGAGGTGCGATGCAATGATGCCGTTTTGCACTACAAGGTCTGCACATCAATGTATGCGTTGGGAGGTGTTATTGATGTTGAACACCCTGCAGAGAGTCTATTCCGGCATCGATTCGGACTTGGACGAAAAGCGTTCTACAAATACCACCGGCAGTATCGCGGCAAAGCACCAGTGAGCCTCAAACTTGAGGCTTTTGCATCTGTGCCCAGGGCGACAGCATTGTTTCTATGCCCAATCATGTATTGGAATTCGACGTCTCTGCTTGAGGCAGTGCGGTGGGAGCGGCAGATGTTGAGATCTGCATTTCGTTTTCGACCAGCCCCAGGCGACCACAGCCGCATGGCTTATTACAAGCGCACTGCGCGAAAGCTAGATACATGGATGTTGAATTGCAATTACAAGCAAATCCACATAGCGATCATGGAAAGGTTGTTTCGGCACGTCTGGCATGAGCGTACAGTTGCCAAGCAGCTCTCTTCCATTCGCCGGGACCGTGATTTAGACATATGGGAAAGTGTGAAAGACATCCCATCGAACAAACGGAAAAGAGAGCAGCTCCTGCATAGCAAGAGCGGCCCACAGTTGCAGTTTTCGACTTTGTTTGCGCGTGTGTGGGATGTACATTGGCGTGCACGTCTTGATTCTTGCCGCGACGAATCAGAGTGGTACTCTCACATGAAAGATTTTGTGCGCCTTGCTTGTGACAAACTCAACCTTCCCCAACCTCACCCTGGATATGTTTCTGCCTGCGCGCGTGCAGCCGCGCCTCGGGCCGACCGCACCGACATGGACTACCAGACGCTGCCCCTGACCAAGTGTATGAAGCGGGACCAACTCTGGTCACACCGGCCGGCGAAGCCGCAAGTCGAATTCGTGGTGGACAATCAGACTCTCGCTCAGCTTGTGAACGTGGAGATCCGCATCGCGAACCCGCACTACGAACAGGACATTGGCAGAATGAGGGAAAACTTGTTCAACATATATTCTCGGTTCTTTGACTACAAGGGTGGGTTTCTTGCTTGTTTTGATTGGCGCCCGCGTGAATACAATGCTTTGGCAGATCGGGTGTGCAATTGGGTATTGGATCAAAAAGCGGACATCATAGATGTGGATTTGGACGCTGTTGCCGCTGTTGCCTGTAATGGGTCAGCTATCCAGTTTTTCTCAGATGGGGGTTATACTGGTGAAAATGGGGCCGCTGCCGCTGTGGTTGTAGTTTACACATACAATGGTGATGAGTGGGTGCCTGAAGTGAAGGGACACAAAGGAGTTTTCATCGAGAATGCGCATTCATCTTTTCATTCGGAACTTGTTGCTGCTGATATTGCTCTGCAGCTGGCAACGCAAGTCGGCCAGAAGTGCACGACTATCCAAATGCATGGTGTGAGAAAGCGTTTGCGCACAAGGTTTTACTGAGTCACAGTCTTGAGGAATCATTTCCGTCACATTATACGTTCATTTTCAAGTAGTGTTTTGTGCACTGTCCAATCGACCTGATCAAGGGAGATGCTACCAAAAAACCCTCTGGCTCGCCGCCGAGGGCAGGGAGGGTGGGCGAGGTTCGAGGCTCTAGGTGCGAGGATGCTGTTCGCCTCTGTCGGCTTCTTGGGGCGCTGTTTTCGCGACTTGGGCCGTCAGACGCTGAGCCGGACACCAGACGGACCCCGAGGGGTGTCCAGGAACGAGTTTGAGCGGGTTTGCTCTTATCCACCTTTCTTGACAGGTGTTCTCGGGGTCCTTGCAGCTCAGACGCCCCTGCCGCCTCCAAGGATACACCACGTCGTCTGGTCGGCCAGGGAGCGAGGAAGCTTGGGGAGGGAGTTCGGGGTATAGACTCTCCAGCGCCCCATGTGCTGGGAAGCTAAGGTGTCTATGTAGACCCAGACCCCCAGTGCCATGATTCTTTTCTGCAACCTGGGCCCCAGGGGGTCTGGACCCCTTCCTGGGGAGCGGCCTTGCACCCCAAAGTGTTTCGTCTGGACGGCCCCGAGACCAGGCGAGGGCCCCCAGAGTCCAACAAAAGGTAAGGTACAAAGCCGTCCGTCGCCGTGCACGCACGACGCGAGGGGGACTAGGCACTCCTCCTCCTCCTTGCTTTCCTCCTCCTCCTCCTCTTCCTTTTTATAGGTTGAGCGGACTTCCATCAACATGCAGCGTCAAACCTCCTCCCCCGTTGTCCTCCTGCACCGGAGCTCGTTGGCCGACCAGGCGGCCCGGTGCACGCGGCCGGCCGCCCCCTCCCAGGCCAGCCCGGAGTGGCGCACCGGCATCGGCGCCGGCCTCGGGGCACTGGGGTTCCTCGGGAGCAACCTCTGCTCTACGCCCTTGCCGCTCCCGTGACGCCCCCCTGGGCGCCCTCGAGGGCGCGAAGTCATTCGCGCTTCGCACTTCGCGGTTCGGCTCCGAGTCCTCCTCATCCTCCATTGCTTCACCGGGTCGGCGGCGAGAGAGCGCGAAGGCATGCGCGCTTCGCGCAGCGCGAGGGGTAACATTGGGAGCTTATGCCTCCTCCTCCCCTGAGATCCTGTCGGGGGTGGACAGAACCCCCCAACAGTGACACGTCGATCAGTGGATTGTCCGTTTTCGGGTCTCGAGAGGGTGCCGTGGCCATGATTTTCCAGGCTCGCGCCCGCCAGGTTTGGGCCTCAGGTCGTGTTCAATAAACCACGTTTTACTAAAGGGGGGTCTGTCCATCCCCGAACCTCGGGCGCCTGCGCCCAATTGTAAGTCGGGCCTGTCCCTCGACAGGAGGGATATTCAAAAATAGTCGAACAAAACATAGTCTGGGGACGATATTTTTTGACTATTTGTTGGCCATTTTGGAGCATTCTGGGAGGACTTTTTTATGATTCGTCCAACATCCCCCGGTAGGAGGACAGGCCCGACTTAACCCCAATTTCGAGCCCTAGTGCAGGATCACGATGGAGAAATCACGGTGGAGGCCCATACCAAGAAACACCTTGCTTGTCTCCAGGGTGCCCTGGGTGTCTTGGATTTCGGTGGTTTTGCCGTGGAAGTCGTGGCGTTCCCACACCAAAAATTCACGGACGTCCTGGGGTCTCAGGGTTGGGTTTGTTGTGGAAGGTTTCTTGTGGTCGGGCCTTTCTTGTACCCCGGGCGATTTTCACGCGGCGGCGCCAGGAATCATGATTAGAAGACCCCTGGGCCGGGAAACTGTGTGTTAAGAAGACCCCTGGGCCGGGAAGCTGTGTGTGGAATCGTTCCCCCCCCCGCCCTCCTCGGGCGCGCGCCTGGACGGCGGGTGGGCCAGACGGAGCCGAGTCGGCGCGGATGCCGAAGATTCGTTTTGTTTTGTTTTTGTTTGTTTTGCGAACCGTCCCCCCGCAACATTCTCTGGCATCTTACAGTAATGCCCTTGCCTTGGCATCGCTCGGACGTGTGCATTTTTCCTTCGGCGAGAGCCATCGAGGAGCATCCTTGATCATTTGGCGAACAAGCCACGCACGAAACCGAGAAAAAACACAAAAAATGGACGTCCGAGCGATGGCGAGTTGCTCGTGTAGCGAGAGCAGTATCAGTGACACGCCGCGTGAGGAACCCATCCAGCGTGTCGTTGTCGAAGGAACGCGTGGGCTCTCTGGACAAAAGCGAAGGAGCAACACGCTGACGGGCTACCAATGCCATCGTGTCTTATGATGTTCCAACCCATTTTAGCTTCCATCACCAAACCACATCGTGCACCAAGAAAGTACCGAAACTGGAGGGCTTTCACGTGTCGGGCCCTGGGGAGACTCGTTCGACAGTGTTTCGATACGTTTCTGGGTGCTCGACATTATTTTCGGGATATGGTCCTCCAGTTTGATGGGGGCAGCAGAGATCGTGCCAGTTGCATTGTTTTCGACGCTGGAACATGGGGCATCCGCGCTGGGGTCCATAATTATCCACGCCCTCGCGGTCTGGCTCCCAGGCGCCCGCGCCAGGGCTCACTTAGGTTAAGTCGGGCCTGTCCCTCTACATGAGGAGTATGTAGAAATGATCCCAAAATTGTCTGGGGGACGATTTGTTTTGACTATGTTTGGCAATTTTGGAGCATTCTTCGGCTATTTTTTCATTGTCTTCCAGTCGTCCAAAATCCGCCTGTAGGAGGACATGCCCGACCTAACACTCAGGCTGCAGGCATCTTTCGCTCGAACTCTTGAGCCCCGGCCGGCGTGTCAGAGATCCGACCTGCTCGGGGCCCAAGAAACGGGGGTCAGTGCAAACGGGGGTCAGCCATGGCACCGGATCCTGCAGGTTCCTGCGAAGACTCTCTCTGGCTGACCCGGGTTAGCGAGCCGCTCGTGGCCGCGAGGCGGACGCGCATGTTGGCTAACCCGGGTTTGCGAAGACCTGCGCTGCAGTTTTTTTGTTTTCTGCATTGCAGTTTTTTGGTTTCCTGCTGACCTGAGTCTGGATTGACCCGGGTCCGAAGTTCCCCGACCGGCAGGGTCAGGGCTCGCATGCGGTTGGTTCTAAGGAAGGAGGACTTGTGACCGAGTGCGAGCCCTGCGCCCGCGGGTCCAGCCGGCGCTGGGGTATCGGGCACCCGTGCTGAGTGTCACCTGGCTGTGGGCATTCCAGGCCTGCCAGGTTCAAGCAGTGGCGAAGCGTCCTGGCTCGCCTATAGCCATACCAAACAATGTTCTAAGAACCTTTTGTGGTTTCCACGAAATGTCCTTAGAACATGTATGGTTGAACTTGTCCTGGTTTAACACATCGGTTTCATGTTATCAGAACTTTTTTCTGTTTTTAGAATATTTTGGGGTTCTGAGAATATTCCGTGGTAGGACTATAGGAATGCCGGGACGGTCGGTCCCTGCTCAACAGGTGGGGTACGAGTAGATGGGGTCGGGGGATCGCGCCGCATGGTCGAAGCATCGGCGATGTGCCTCGATGTGGAGCCCAATTTCCTCCATGTCGACTTCGATGATGCATCGGCGCATCGGCGATGCCCTCGCGGGTTCAATCGGCAAAGGGGTATCGGGCACCCGCGCTGGGTTTCATTACGAGCGGCGAACGTATCAATATCCACGCCCTCGCCGTTTGGCTTCCGGGGCCAGACCCGCAGATGCGCGGTCGGCCTGATGCGTCGCGCGAGAGTTCCGCGAACAAAAGCGCTCCGTATCCGCGCGGTCGCGGCCCAGGGGCCTGGCCCGTGAGGCCGCAGGTACAGATAGTTTTTGTTCGCCCACGAGTGCGCTTGGCTGCAGGCGTCAAATCTTTTGTTCGCCCTGGGCATTCGGCTCGGTTTTTTCTGGCTCTGTCGTCCGGTCTCATGGCCTTTTGCAGCCTCGGGGCGCGAGCCTCTCCAGCAGCCGCGCCTTGCCGCGGGGCGCCCGCGGGTGCCCGTGTCGTCCCGAACGGCCGCCGGAGGACTGAGCGATGGCCCGATGAGCTCCTGGGATCCATCAAGCCATGACCTCGAGTCGCCCACTCGTCGCCGATCGCAGCCTGGGCCCCAGCCCCGCAGGAGCGTGCCGGCTCGCCACCGGGGTCCTGCTCGCCGGTGCAAGGTCAGCGTGCCCGCTTCGGGCCAGGAGCGCGCGTCTCGCTATCGAGGGCCTGTTTCGCCGAGCTGCTGGCGATGCATCGCCCATTCCGGGTCGACGTGTGCGCCCCCCCCCTCTGAGTGACGGTATGGTTCGATGATCGTTTCGGGGACCTTCCTGGAGCCCACCTAACGGATCTGTTCGACCCCAGTTCGACGCAAGTTCGATTCAAGTTCGATTCAGGTTCGACTCAGGGGCGACCCAACTCGACTGACGTTCGACGCAGCTTCGACGCACGAGTGGAGCGAGTGGCTCCAGGAAGGTCCCCAGAACGAGCATCCAAGTATGGCTTTGTCGTGTCAACGCTTCGGCGGCCCCAGCGCAGGCGTAGCCATTGTTCCAGAATCGGCCACCATGGAGGTTTGGGAGACTGTGTTTTAGGGGTCTGGCGACAACCCGTGTCATCGGGCCTGCCCTGGCCCTTCCGTTCCCTCTTGGATAACCTGGCTTTGTCGGTGGCGCAGGCCCGAATGGGGGTACGCAGTATTGGTGACCGCGGGCATACGTTAGGCTGCCCAAGGCGAAAAGGTTAGGTTATCAGTTGTCACCTCCCTCCCCACCCCCCACCAGATCACGTGGGCTACCGACGAAAAAAACGATACGGTCTCCTGGACAAAACCAATGCCCAGATCCCCACGAAACGAACCTGCCGTACGGTAGGTTCGCGTCGTGTCGACCAGCGGAACCCCGCCGCCAGCGTTCAGCGACCGCCGCGGGCGACCCAGAATCGGTCGATGTTGAAGGATCGAGCGTTTCGGAAACGGCCGATCGTTCAAGGTTGAACGATCCCTGCGGTGACAGACATCCGTGCCGAAGTCGCCACGACACGAGCCTGCCGTAGTCCCTTCTGGACCGTTCCCCCGTCAGGCTCCTGTTGCTACTGCTCTTCTGTTGCTGCCAGCGCTCCGTGCGGGTCGCCGTGGCCGTGGTGCGCGCGTCCTCGGAGCTCCGGGGGGGGGGCTCCTCCCTCCTCAATCGCCCTCTTCTTCGTTTCTTCTCGTCCTCCTCGAGCTCCCTCCTTCTCGTCCTCCTTCTCCCCACCCCTCCCTCCTCCTGACTCCTCCTCCTCCTCCTCCCTCCTTCTCGTCCCTCCGTCCTCCCTCCTCATCCTCCCCGTTCTCCTGGGGGTAGGCCATTTGCATGAGGGCTGTTCTTTTTCTCCACCAGAAAAACACATACCGAAATGTTCTGGACTCCGCGCGGAGCCCGTTGGATCTGCGCACTAATTCCTTTGGGGCGCATCCAGCGCCGCCCCTGACGCGCGGCGCGCGCCAGGGAGGGGGGGGTCCTGGCGCCGCTCCATGGAGCCCGCGCCGACCCCCAGGACAGCCGCCAAGAGACCGAGGCAGTTTCTGCCCATGGAGGCTGTCGTTCTTCCAGGATTCCAGCCCGTCGCCCACCCGACAGGTCCGGCCGTGGAGTCGCAGCTCCCGGCCCGCCCGGCAGCCCCTGCACGCCCCGCAAACCGCGGCCGCCAGGGCCCCCCCCCAAGAGAGAAAGCCCGCTGGCGCTCCCCGCCCGGGGGCCCCGCCTCGGGTCTCACCCGCCCGGGGGCCCCGCCTCGGGTCTGCGACGCGAGGGCGGCGGGCGCGGCCGCCAGGCAGCCGGGGGGGGGGGGCGACGTCCACCTCGGCGGCCCGCCCGCGGCTGCGGGGCGATGTGGTCGCGGCCGCCCCGCGCGAGGCGCAGCCGCGCGGCCGCGCAGCCGCGGGAGCGCGCGCCTCCCGAGGCGAGGGTTCGCGAGGGCGCGGAGGCGGGCGTGCCCGCCGCTCGCGAGCCTTTCTGGCGACGGGTGCCACGTCGCGCCGTCGGCTGGGCATCGATTCGGGGCACCATCGTGCGCCTCGAGGGCTCGATGGCTTGCTGCTGGAGGGCCCTGGGGCGCCCACCGGGCCGAGCACGGGGCCCGTGGTCGGCTCCGCCGGCCCTCGGGAGGAGGGCGGGGGGCGCTGCCATAAAACGACGCGAAGATCGGGACAAAATCGGATCGGGATAACTCGAAATCTCTGAGAATCGGCGGGTTTGGAGGATGTATTGGGCGCCGCGGCCTCTCCACTGGGCGGCCCAGGTCGCTTACGAAGTGGTTGAGGCAGATACATCTCACTTGTATGTCACTTGCATTTGCATTGCATCTCGTTGCATGTAGTTGCAACTGGGGTAAGCAATTGCTACCCGAGCTAAGATGTTAGGGTAGTTGGCTATCTCGTCCAAGCGCATAGGGGAGTTGCTATCTGAGTTAGGTGTAAGCCACATAAGTCGGTTAGGTAGGTTAGGTAGGAGGTTCGGAAGTGGTTAGGTAAGAGCTTCTGAGGGGTTAGCTAAGCAGTTAGCATAATTAGGTTAGCCCAGTTAGCTAAGTGGTTAGGGGGCCCTACGAAGAGCCCTCCCCAAGCCTCCAGAATTCGAAAATCGAAGTCCATGGCGCAGGGTTCTCATCAGAAATTGGCCGCCGATCGAATCAAACTGCCCACCAGAAAACTCAAAACCCGCAAGTCCCCCCATGAGAAATAATGACATCACGGATGATAAAACCTGATTCCCTCCATAGCCGTTCTGGCTCAAGCCTCTGGCTTGCACCTTTCTCGGACTGAGCTCGTCCTGCGCAGAGTTCCTCTGAGATGAGCCTCGCGGCGGCTCTCCAGCAGGAGCTTGACGCGCTGGTGCCTCGCCTCTCGGAGCTCGTCGCTCGTTTCGGTGGCGCCGACGAGGATGCGAAGCAGCAGAAGACGGAGTGCGACGAGATCTTGGAGTTACTTGTATCCAAGAATTTGGCATACTACGTCGTCTTCGAGAACGACGCTGTCGGCATCCACTCCGACAACCGCTACGGCGACGGCGTCCAGGTAGACGAGGTTCACTCGCTCATCCTTCGCATCGTGAACGTCGGCTTCTCCTTCTCGGCCCTTGGGAGCCCGCGGGCATTCGAGGTCGGCCCAGGAGAGCAGGGGCAGAAACAGATAGTGTTCAACGAGCTGCTGGTTGCTGGCAGCGACGGCGCGCTACCGCCAGTATCGCCGCAGATGAAGATCCTGGCGGTGTCCTGCGCCCACACGTTGATGGGCCTGCGGTGCGTACAGCACGGCGTGAAGGGATTCGACGAGGAGCTCATCGACGATGTCGGCCACATATCTAAAGATAAGGTCTACTCCTTGTGCCCCAGCTACGCCAAGCCAGTGGCTGAGGGCTTGCGTTGGCTCGTGATTCGGAGCCAGGTCGACAAGGCTGTGGAGGGCTTCGCCAACTTCGTTCAGGAGTCGTCCAACCTTGGTCATGGAGCAGAGCGCCTTCAAAGTAAAGTACAAACGCTGCTGCAAATCCACGACATGATCATTCGTAACAAGAAGCGCTTCAACGATCCGAAGGTCGACCAGATCGTCAGGGAGATCGAGAAGACGAAGCCTTGGCTGAAAGGCCACGTGGGCCCCATGACAGATTTCGTCAGGCTCTATTCGGGCGGCGACGTCCCCGTCTACATCACGCAGATCTGCGCCTACGCGAAGCAGCTTGGAGATGCTCGGAAGGACTTGAGCGCCCAGACCTTCGCTGCCCTCGGAGCGGTCAGCTTCGTCCAGGGGCCTGAGTGGATGGCGGCGTGCGTGAAAGCGAGCTTGGCTGCACCTGACGCCCACTGCCGCGATGGGTTGGCGAGGCTGCTGACGACGACAGACGTTCAGAACACGACGAAGCCCGCGCTGAAGCTCAAGGTCCTGCAGTACATCTCCACCCACAAGGTTGCGAGGGCGTGGCTTCTCGGAGTCAAGGCGAAGCTCCCGAACGTGGACTCCAACATGAACTTCGTGATAGAGAAGCTGCTCGGCGATATGGATGTCAGGGCTGTGATGCACGCGTGCCAGAAGAAATCTCGCGGGCGCCGTAGTTTCAAGGACTTCGACGAGATCAGAGCTACCTTCTTGCGGGAATGCCACATCGCGATCCCCGAGACCAAGGCCGAGAGCCCACCGTGGGCAGCTTCGCCTGCCGACGACACGGATCCAGAGGACCACGCTGGCGGGGAGTTGGTTGCCTACGGCGAGAGCGGGGCCAACTACACCGAGAGGGGCCTGGCCAACCTCGGCTTCAAGATCGGCGTCACGGTAGAGCTGAAGGCCCGCGTTTCGAGAGACGACGGCGGCGACGACGAGCTCCAACGGTTGAAGCTGGCCAAGTTCGACGCTGCGACAGGCTCGGTAACCTTGGTGAGCTCCTCGGAGAGGCTGACCAGCAAGACGGCCCCGAATGAGTTCGAGGTCCCCGTCGGCACGCTCGTTGACGAGTACAAGGCTGGGATGGTACAGTGATGATGGTGATGATGATGGTGATGATGCTGATCATGGAAACGATGTCGGTAATGATGATGATGATGGTGGTGATGGTGATGATGGTGCTGCTAATGATGATAATGATGATGATGATGCTGATGATGATGATGATGATGATGATGATGATGATGATGATGATGCTGATGCTGATGCTGATGGCCATGATGGTGGCAACGGTGGCGACTGCGATACTTACGATGATGACGGCGACCACGGCGACATGAGCGATACTGACGGTAAAGCTCGAAACCCTGAAGACGACGACGGTGTCCACGACGAGCAGAAGGTGGGGGAGAGGAGGAGGAGGAAGAGGAGGAGGAGGAAGAGGAGGAGGAGGAGGAGGAGGAGGTAGGAGAAGGAGGAGGGGGAGGAGGGGGGCAGGGGGAAGATGACGGGAGGGCGAGGAGGAGACGGGGGAGGGTGGGGAAGAGGGGGGCACTGAGAAGGCGGAGGAGGACGAGGAAGGGGAGACGGAGGAGGAGTAGGATGAGGAGAAGGAGAGAGAGGGATGGAGGGAGAGAGGACGGGAGGGAGGAAAAGGATACCTAGGATGGAGGAGAGGAGGAGGAGGAGACGGACGAGGAGGAGGCGACGGGTGAGGAGGAGAGTGCGAGGAGGGTAAGGAGGAGGAGGTCCATTTCAAAGGCCCATGGCCGCTTGAAACATCACTGCCCCACCCCCCAACTTCAGAAAAACCAAGTCGCCCCCCTCCCCCCCAAAAAAAACGACGGGATAATAAGTATACCATCTCCCACCGAAAAAGCTATGGCTAAGCGTGTCCCTCTTCCCTCCTCTCCCTCTCCCCTCCTCTCCCTCCTTCTCCTCCTCTCCCTCCTCCTCCTCTCCCTCCTCCTCCTCCTCCTCCTCCTCCTCCACCTCCCCTCCCTTTCTCTCCTCATCATCGTCCTTTTCATCTTCCTCCCGTCTCCTCCGTTTTGCACCATCCAAGGTTGTTGTCGTGGCCAGCACCTACCACCACGTGGTGAACTCTGCCTGCGCCTTGACGTACAAGGATATGGATGCCGAACTCGGCAAGAGCGTCATTAGGTGTGCGGTCGCCCGCGCATATCGTGACCAGAGCTCGACGGTGCACGTGAATATCACAACTACTAGGGGCAATCGGTCTGTGTTGAGCCGTGAGAAGTTTGCTGCAGGTGCGTTGATCCTAGTGCCGTTGACTCCCAATGTTGTGCTGAGTGCCAAGGCACCTGCGTCAGGGGTGCTCGTTGAGTATGATTCCGCGGCAGACTCGAGCCAGCACTTTTGGCTAACCCCTAAGGTAGACATGGCCTGGGCTGCAGATGACGCGAACCCAGGTTTCAAAGTTCCATTTTGGAGCGTGGAGTCGGCTCAAGACTCTGAACTGGCCAACATGGAGCCTTCCGCAGTTTTTGTCTCGATCGGCTCGCACCTCGGCCAGAGCACAGAGTCGGTGTTTGTAAAGGTGCCTGTCTTGGTGAATTTTAAGCCCCTTGAAAAAGGGGACGAGCTTTGCGTGAAGCCAGCGTGTGCGAAGGGTTCCAAGCGTCAGGGTGACGCGGCCTCCGCTTCATCTAAGAAGCAGAAGCTTGTCTAGGCTGTGCACGGAGGCCGCCATCGAAGGAGCATGTGGGAGGAGACACGG